CATTTAGGAGGGGACAGTGAGGAACTTTCAGAAATGCAACATTTGATTAAAAAGTAAACCATTTCCAAAGCAATAAAACAATAATAAACAGATAATTAATAAGAATGAGCATTTAAAAGTGCCAAGTAGCTGAGCTGACTAATACAACTTTTTTTGGCCATTTCAGTTAAGAAGCAGAGCCGTAAAGAGGCAGACTAGGCCCCAAGTTCTGATTGTTATGGATTGTGGTGGGAACCAGGATCGAGCTAAGTTAAGTTTCACTAACCCTAACTTTCTGCTTATATCTGGTGGCACACACTCTGAGTTAGACTTCAATGACTTCAATGAATTCATATGAAAGTAGAGGTTGGAATCTCTGGGTACCACTGGTAGAGGTTGAAAGTCAACTTTCAACTTGGATTTTCCTCCTCTCCCAAATGCCGTGTGGAAAGGTTCCCGGAAGGAGGAGGAGAAGGCTGTGTGTGGCCACGCTTGGGCTTAGTTCCTTTGATACTATGCAAAACAATGAGCAGCAAGATTCCACCACATCCTGGTTCATTGGAAACTCTATGACTCCAGCCCAGGTAATGTCTCACAGGGGTCAAAAATACATTCCACATTCATTCGCAAGGAATTCAGTACTTCAATAATTTCAAATTTTCAAAGTTAGCTGAGTATTAACAGGGTTAAAACTGTTCTTTCTCCTTTACATCGTACTCCATCCCCACCTTACAGCCTTGTTTCCCCTCTCCCACCTGCTTGCAGCCTCTCTCCTTCGTCTTCCTTGCAGCCGTCCTCCCCCCACCCTTCTTGTGGCCTTCCCATCTCTATTGAAGTTTCCTCTTCCTCCTATACCCCTCTTGTATCGTCCTCATCCTCCCTCTCCACACCTCTTTTAACATCAACCCACTGCCCCCAGAAGTCAGCCTCAACCCAGGCCCAGCAAAGGTCATGGCACATGACAAAAGGCCCAAAATCCTTGCTCCAAGCAAATGTCTCAAAATCCTAAACCTCAGCCAAAGACAGATCTAGCTCCCCCAATACCACCCTCACTACCCATACCTACTTTCTTAACTGCTTCTGATGGTAGGCTGTTTCTCTCCCATGTTTTCTGTTGATATGTTCACAAGTTAAAGCAGCACTAGTGAACGGGAGAGAAGCAGCTTGTAGTTGGAGGAACACTACACAGAGATTTTCTCCATTTTACTTAAGGGATTAACTTTTCTCTGATTGGTCATCCTGTTGACTGAATTCTCCTGGGCATTTCGGGGGAAGATTCACCCTCTGACCCCATGTTTTTCAATTCTGAGATCAAATCTTGAAGGTGCTCCTTAAATACTGATACTGCACCAGGGCATTATTGACCAGTGCCATTTTCTTTTTTTCCATTTGGTGTCATTTCCATTCTATTGTTGCTGTGAGTGAGGGGTATATGACTGAGAATTCAAATACATGTCCTGCCAGTCTCAGTAATCACTCTGTCACAAGGTCCTATACACACCTCTGATCAATCTTGTGTAACACTTCTTCTTGGAGATGTTGTCTCTCCAAGTGATACCCTGGATTTTATGTAGGCAATATTGATGAATATGTCCAAGTTACATGGCAAAAATATATAGGGAGAAAATAGTCCCATTGATGAAAGGATTAAGGGCTAGAGGACACCAATTTAAAGTAACTGGCAAAAGAACCAGAAGTGACACATGAATTTTATTTTTACACAGGGAGTGGTTAGGATTTGTAATGCTCCGCTTGTCAGTGTGGTGGAAGTAGAGTCATTCATGGCTCTCAAAAGAGAATTGGATAATTATCTGAAAAGATTTTCAGGGCTATGGGGTAAAGGCAAGGTCTGGGACTACATGAGCTGTTTTTGCAGATAGTTGGCACAGGCCTGATAGGCCCAATGACCTTCTTCTGCACCACTGCATGATTCTGAAGCTACGAATGAGAGCATGCCTTGCACTATTTGGGTGCTAGGCTATTATCAGTATATGCAGCCTACAGAAAAGAGACCAGCTAAGCATTTGAAAGAATTTTGTGAGGTTCAGCAGAAGCAAAATATTCCTGGCCATGGTCTGTGACACTAACTCCAAGATTGTCTCCCAAACTTTTATGATGCAACTTGTGGTTCATCCTCACACACCACCAACACCACCAGCCCCACCCCAAAGCAGCAAGCCAATCTTAATATTGATACAGTGCTCACAAACTGATCATCTTTATCAAGTCAAAACAAGCTTGAAATTTTACAAGGACTTCAACTGGCAATGTAAGAATCACTATCCGTCCCAAGCTGTAAATGTCTACTAACTCTTCAATGATTCTCTGCTTCTGCTGCAGTAGCAAAAATGTTAAGGTCATACTTACATATTGCAGGTTAGTATTGAAGAAACAAAATGCCTTAAAATCAATCAATTCAGCGTGTAGATTTCTGCTTTGCTCAGCTCAGAAATACCACAGTAGCTGCCAAAGAATCTGTGCCATCTCCATCCGGAAAATCACTGAAAAAATGTTGGCTCTATCAATGAGTGTGAGTGTCACTTTTTACCATTCTTTTTCTGAATTTCTGAAAGCTATTAAATGACAGCAGTAAATCAAAACCTTACCAGAAGCTACAGGAGAGAGGGCAAAGATGAAGAAGAAATAGATGATCTGGATGAGACTGAGGACCAGTCGCTGAACAGACCGGCTGCAGCTGATGTTTGGAAAACATTACTCACATTATAAATCAATGACCATCCAGACTGCCAGAGACAATTCATACAACGGAAAACTGTGCTCATGCTCTAAGGTAGCAAAAGCTCTGCAAACATACATGACAAGCATTTTTGCTACACAGAAGTGATTAAAATAAGTTTCCTTTAGTTTAAATGGTTTAATCAATGTTTATGCTGACATCAGAAGCTACCTTTATCAATTATACACCTATCACCATATTAGGAATTCTGCACAATATTTATTGTTAAAGTTTCTATGTGCTGAATTTGTCAATTCAATATTTTTTTAAAAAGGAAGAAATTCTACTCTGCAGTTGGACAAGATGTAACAGGATTCTTCAGGGAATGCCAGAATATTTAGGTAATGAGGTTATCTCACTGGAATATTCCTATATGTGCCAAACTGAGACATCCACAACCACATCTTCGATGTCTGGCCCATGAAATAGCAGGATCCTAGTTATTGCTATTTCCTTGGACTGCCATGTAGGAGATAGTAGTAGGCACAGACAAGTGATAGGGGACTTGGAGGTACAGGAACTGAAAAAATAGGGGAGGTTGTCTGTAGTGATTGTAACAAGGTCAGCTAGGTGGACCTCATAGAATGAGCTCCCTGATTGGGTCTGTTGATCTGGTTCAATCACAGAGTCCTGGGTGATAGATGAGAACAAGAGTGTCAGACATCCTGTTTGCTCGGAGAGCTGGCTCTGAGGGAGGTGGATCAGTCTCCATGTCTAAATAAAGGGTGACTTGGTGACAGGATACCAGCACCTGTGGAGTTATTTCAGTGACTGTGTTAAAATAGTTCTTTAATACAATCCAACTGGCAGAAGAGATTAAGGATTAGATATCCTTGGAGGCAGGCAGCAAATCCTTCTTACAGCTCAAATTATGGGCACTTTTGCAGTATTGCCAGCATTTTGCCATGGGGGAATGTGGACACTGCCAGCTCAATACAACCAAAGACGCCTGTGAGAGGCTGGGGGATTATCAGAGACAAAGACTCAAATGTCCCATTGATGAGGCTGTGAATATAAAAAGGTCACACTTTGGCTGAACCCAATCCGGCAGATTGCCTCTATCCCTAAGGTGAGTTTTATTTTTTATTTATGCGCTACTTTGTAGTCCAGCAAGTGTATCTCTATTAAGCTGGCAGGCTGCCAACCCTCTGATTAGACCACTCAAATTGAGAATGGTAGAAATGGTCAATTAGGAGGCTGTCTGTCAGAAAATTGGTAAGCCATTTGCTCTGCTGGCATGGATGGGCATAGACACCCGTTTAGTTCCAATGTTAGGCTCTTGAAGCAAAATCTAGCCCTTATGACATCTGCATGTTTCTAAAAATTTCCTGCTTTAAAAAATGACAAAGATCAGAACATTTTCCAAATTTCAGCACTGAGATTATAGAAAATATATTCATTTACTACAACTGAAAATTGTTTAGTGTAGTGACTAAGGCAGTTTAACCAATTTTTGATCTTTGATTGTTGGGCATTCTAGCCTGAACATTACTGTATATAGCAATGATACTTGAGACTGATTTGAAATGATAGAGATCTGTTCTTTTTTGGGCCTCTCTAAAGGTTTGAAGCTTCATGAATGGAAAAGTAAGACTTACATTATACAGCACTTTGCATGACATCAGGATAGTAAAAAGCAGTTTACAGCCCATGAAATCTTTTGAAGTGTGGACATGGTTGGACCATTGTAAAATTTAATCGGTCCATATTCTAAAATCCAACAATAAAAATGCTGTAACAATTTGCTTTTAACATTGTGATGCGAGTTTTTTTGGACTACTTTTTCATAAACCTAAAACTTGACATGTCCTTGATCATAACCTTTTCATTATCACTGCCATTTTAATGCAATATACTTGAAAACCAATAAAAACAGAAGTGCTGGAGTAACTCAGAAAGTCTGCCGCATCTACGGAGAGAAAAACAGTTAACATTTCAAATTCAATGTGACCTTTTCGGAACTCCATTCAAGGTGATTCAATGTGCTCAAGCAAGGTATTTATGTCAGTTTATCATGCATTACAATTAAATACATAATTCTGAATTGAATGTAAAGATCATATTAAATAAGATTTATTTAGAAGCATTGAAAAGATATTTTCTACGTATTGACTGGTTTATGTAAATTTATGGATTTTATGACACATGAATTTTCTAAAGTTTTCAGAAGATTTGTTGCTCAGGTCATGGTTGAGGTTGCAGACTTGCTCGCTTAGCTGGTGTGTTTGATTGCAGACGTTTTGTCACCCTGTTAGGTAACATCGTCAGTGCACCTCCGGTCAAGTATTGATGTTGTGTCCCACTTGTTATTTATCTACCTCGATTTGCTGGGGTGGTTGGTATTACTTCTGGTTCTGTTTTTCAGTGCTTTGTATATCAGGTCCAGTTGAGACCAGTGGGAATTGGTTATGTCTCTCAATACACACGGACCAAGAAGGACACGAATTCAACTGTGACAACACATCCACAATAGCACAAGCCAAACAGAGACATGCCAGGGAATTCCTGGAGGCCTGGCATTCCAACCTGAACCCCGTCAACAAACACAAAATCCTGTCAAAATCCTGGAATTCCCTCCCTAAGAGCGCTGTGGGTCAAACTACAGCATGTGGACTGCAGCAGTTCAAGAAGGCAACTTACCATCACCTTCTCAATGGCAATGAGGGATGGGCATTAAAATGCTGGTGGCCAGCTGCGCCCATGTCCCACAAATAAATAAACAAAATACTAGAAAAGGCCTCCAACCTAGCCCTGATTAATCAAATGGTATGAATCAAATATTTTGATAGCTGGGTTAGATCCTTGTGACACAAATAGAGAGAGAGAGAAAGAGAGAAGTGGCTCATTAAATCATTGTCAAATTAGACAGAATGCTGACTAAAAAGCAAATCTAACTCTCCATTTATTTTATGCTTCTGACAGTCATTGAAGCATGCACATCTTTTGTGGTTTCTTCTTTCACCTTTGCTTCCCTCCTTTTTTTTAACAACAGCCTCCCATTTCCTAAAGTTCTATTTCTCTCCCTATATGCTCACTTCATTTGTCTTTCAGTTCATAATCACCCAGCTTATCACACTCTTTTCTCTTGACTTGCACGGCTGAAGTTTTGGTTCACTATGAATTCATAATATGTGGTCGTGCCACTTGGAAACCAAGCAATCACTCCCAGCTGCCATTAGGTTTAGAGCATAAAATCTTCCAATAAAGATTTTACATAAACAATGTAAAATGAATATACGTTCAGTTTTATGTATATATACACATAACACAAAAATATACATTCCACGAATTTTACTAAATATTCAAAATTATACAAAATCTTCTATACACAATATAATTAATTCATTTAGTATAAACTCATTTGAAGATCTAATTGGTCTATTTCACATTTATTTTTAATCACTGGTCATGATAGAGACTAAATTACACCCCCAAGATGGGAGGATTTTGAATGTTTTCTTAATAGAATGTGAAAGAAAGGAGGCCATTAAAGGATTGGAATAGTTGGCTCTGAAGATGATAAAAGCATGAATTAGAGTTTCAGCAGATGGAAAATCCAGGTACTTCTACAAAAATTGTATTTGCTCCAGAAGTATATCAAGGCTTTAGTCTATTGTGCGGCTGAACTGTACAAATCCAGGCAGATTCCAGATTAAATTCCTAGTTTGTGCTCATCCTGGAGCAAATGGGTGCTCCAAATTTTCACTGCTGCCTTGGTTAAGAGATGACGGTAGCTGCTGGAAAAGGCGCATATGGAAATTTAACAAGATATATCACATTGATGCACGCTTATATGAAGAATGGTCATTTGAATCCAGTACTAGATGTTGCTGGACAACTGTGAAAGCATGTCTCAACAGATGCCAGTACATTTGGGAGAGGAGACGAAAAAGTTACCAAAATCCTCTTTTAAAACTTCACTTACAAAAGCATAATTCAAGTACAATTCAGTTATGTAAATATAATTCAGTTATATAAGAATTAGTCATGGAGAATTTCAAAGTCTAATGGCTGAAAAATAAAATGCAGTGACTCAATAAATAAATTTGCATCAACAGTAAAATGAAATATGACACAATCCTGAAAATATTTTTATTCAAGTTTGCATTAGAAATTCTTATTAATATAAGGGAAACCATTACATGTATGCCAAACTTAACTAGTCCCACTTGCCTTATGTTTTTTTGTCTCAGTGTAATTTACATCAGGTTTTTTGGAAGGTTTTCGCCATGAGCCATAGCGAGTTATCTTGCCGTATCTTATCAAACCCACTTCATTAACTACCAAATCCGCTCCTACAGCATACATCTCTTCCAATTCCAGTCCCACCTTACTTACTGCCATTCCTAGAACAACTCGACACTTAGATGTAAGGCCAGCATCCCTTGCAAATATGCCATCTTTAAATGGCTGCTATGTACTCAGGTGAGCACGGGCATCCTGAAGCCACCTTCCTGGGTCAAGGATATTTTTAGAAGTTGTTAGAGACCTCTAGATACCTAACCATCCATGTTCTTCCAATCAAGTGAGTACCATTCTTCATTCCACTGCAATTCTCAACATAATCCTGCTGCCAGTGTCATTCATTACACACCACTTCTAAACACTGGCCGCGCCAATGTCTTTCACTTTTTGTTGCACATACTGCCACCATGTCTACCACCCCCATATTGTAACAGCCAGCTACCACAGAAGCCACCTTTTTGACCTGAGGATGAGAGTACCAAGGCCTCAGAGGAAACATTGCAAAGGCTGCCTCCTGTGACCCACCCTCCACCCCATGCCACCAGATCAGATACCGACATCTCAGCAGGAAGGTTAAGCTTAAAAAATGTGAGATCACAATCTAGTGAGCACCTCCATGTAACAGCTCCATAGATGGCTGAGAAAAAAAAGCTCCAGGCCACTGGCACTTGAAGGACTGCCAGAGACTAAGCACCTGCTCAACCCCAGGCTGGAGAGGATCCTGTACTGTTGACAATCAGGGACATGCACAGGTAGGAGCTAGAGCCGCAAACAGGTATGCAGGGCACAATGGCACTTATTGCCCAGAAAGCAATGAGTCATGTGATCAAGTGGCTGCCTCCAGGGCAGGTTGGTGGATGCCGTGGAGAGCCAGCCCCAACATTCTCAGAGTCTGCTGGAGAGGTGCACACACCTGCACTCTATAGCCCCAACCGTTGGTCCTCAGGATCCAAGGCATGGTGACAGGGAGATAGGGAACCGGGTGAGGACTCCAAACTGACAGGGTAATGCCTGGAAGCACCCAGCAGGAGGAGGCACAACCTATAGTCCCCTTAGAGGCCTCTGCTCAGGTCATTCCAGAGGTGGCCAGGCCCTCCATCCTTTTGCTCCCTTCTGACCCTGGGAGGTTTACTCTGAGGGTCCAGTTACATGTAGCAAGACTCAACAGTAGCGGCCCATCCAAACACAAATGCTACCAGACCTGCCTGACCAAACCTCCAAGGCTCCAGGGTTGAGCAGGCTCTCTCTACCCCTGCTGCGGAACCAGTGACTACACTAAAATATTCCGTAAGTGAAAGTCATGGAGTCATACAGCATGGAAATAGACCCTTCGGTCCATTCAGTCCATGCCAACCATAATCCCAAATTTAACTAGTCCCACCTGCCTGCTCCTGGCCCAGATCCCTCCAAACATTTCCTATTCATGTAGTTATCCAAATATCTTTGAAACATTGTCATTGTACACATATCTGTCAGAGGCAGAAGAAAACCTATTGAGGGTAGTTTGGTGGTATGGGTGACAGTGAACTGTAACATTATTTGGCACCTTCTTATAAATTACACTGCTTTTACCTTACGTCTGGTTGTTTGTCTCTCCTTGTAACACTGATTGTAACAGTTTCCAGCATGAGGTGTAAGTTCATGACCCCACATGATGGATATCATGGATCAATGTCTGTGTTGACAGCCTGCTGCAGCATCTGAAAGTAAAAGGAGCAAGGTATTTCGAGGGCAATGGGTCCTGCTGACATCTTTGACTTTTGTCATTCAACGTCCCTTTTCGTTCCCAGGCCTTTTAATGTTGGAGAATGAGTTAATCAGTAAAGTTTGGCAAGGCAAACAGGATGGGTTAGAATGGCTAGGGATTTGAGACCCTGTAGGTGTGCGTCCTGAGCAGTGTGTATAAATGTACTTTCCCTTTAAAATCCTTCACATTGGTGTGTCCTGCAGCTTCCTCCCACTTACACCACCCACTCCAATTGAGTTTGTCACCATTTTCTTCCCCGTTGCAAGTGAGTTCTCCTCAGTTAGTGGCTTTCTGCCTGCGCCACGACATGTTGGTGAGCCCCCAAATGTCCAAATCCCCTTCCCAGTAACCATTCCCATAATACCCATAGGCTCCACATCTCCTTCGGTCTTCACCCAAGCCATCTACATGGGCCTGCATCTGGTCCCACCCTACCCCTTTGTTTCTGTGGTAAACCCACGGACTGACCATGGCTCACCCCCTTGATCAACCTAACCGACAGTTCCAGTCAAGATGTGACAAGACCCTTTACTGGTGAATGTACATGACTCTGACCGCATTAGCCTAAGCACATAGATTTGAGGCTATGGAGCCACAAGATTGACTGTGACCCACTCACTGGATTGCAGATGCACAGACCCATTGAGCACCCTGAGAAGAATCCTGACTGTAGTCAATCCTCAGACATGTGCTGGAGGCAGCACTTCACTTACTGTGCAGCACCCCCCTGACAGGTGCCTCAATGAACTTCAGTGAGGACTATTCCCCTAAGACTTTTGTAGCATGGCTGCTTGCTTGATGCACATGCAATGCACATTCAATAAATATCTGGAATTAAGAATCTAATGATAACCATGAATCCATTGTCAATTGTCGGAAAAATCCATCTGGTTCACTAATGTCCTTTAGGAAAAGAAACTGGCATCATTACCTGTCTGGCCTACATGTGACTCCAGACCCATAGCAATGTGTTTGACTCTTAACTGCTCTCTGGGCAATTAGAGATGAAGAGAGGTTGAGTAGATTAGGATTATTTACATTAGAAAGATGGGGGTTGAGGGGGGACCTGATTGAGGTCTACAAAATCACGGGAGGTATAGACAGGGTGGATAGCAAGAAGCTTTTTCCCAGAGTGGGGGACTCAATTACTAGGGGTCACAATTTCAAGGTGAGAGGGGAAAAGTTTAAGGGAGATATGCATGGAAAGTTCTTTACGCAGAGGGTGGTGGGTGCCTGGAACGCATTGCCAGTGGAGGTGGTAGAGGCAGGCACGATAGCGTCATTTAAGATGTATCTAGACAGATACATGAATGGGCAGGGAGCAAAGGGATATAGATCCTTGGAAAATAGGCGACAGGTTTAGATAGAGGATCTGGATCGGCGCAGGCTTGGAGGGCTGAAGGTCCTGTTCCTGTGCCGTAATTTTCTTTGTTAACTTGCACTACTTAAAAGCCATTCTGTCAACAGCAGATACTGGAACCCAATGCTGATAAGTGATCTCCAAGAAGAGGAAAGATGAATGCTCATGGAATAAAAGTGTTAGTAACATGTTGATTGTAGGTTTGGTCAAGTGACAGGAAATTGAGTAGTGGTTAATGGATGGTCTTCGGGCTTAACCAAGATTTGTCGTGCAGTTCTCCTGGGACCAACGGTAACAGACTTTTGCTTCTCTTAATATATAAGAGTGACACAGGCCTTGATACACAGGGCAAATTGCAAAATTTGGAAATGAGACAAAACTTGGAAGCATTTTAAAACTGTGTGGATGAGTGTAGAATATCAAAAAAAACAAGTTGGTGGATTGGGCATAAAAGTGGCAGATGAAGTTCATTACAGAGAAACGTGAGATGATTCATTTTCATAGGAAGGACATCGAGACATGATATAAAATGAAGGGGACAAAACTAAAAGGGGTGTAGGAATAGAGGGAATAAGTACTTTGCATCAGTCTTCATAGTTTAACACACTAACACCATTGCAAAACTACTAAACAACCAAGGGGCAAATGGGGATGAGGAAATATATACGATAGTTTTTAACCAAAGGTACTGGGAAACCAAATAAGGCTGAAAGCCAATGTGTCCCCTAGATCTGATGAGATGCATCCTACGATATTAAAGCAAGCAGCAACAGAAATAGTGGACTCACTGGTCATAATCTTTGAAGAATCCTTAGATTCTGAAAACATACTGGAGGATTGGAAAACTGACAATGTAACAGCCTAATTTCAAAAACAGTTAACTAGAGGCCAGAGATAGTAGGAACTGCAGATGTGGAGAATCTGAGATAACAAGGTGTAGAGCTGGATGAACACAGCAGGCCAAACAGCATCAGAGGAGCAGGAAGGCTGACGTTTCGGGCTTAGATCCTTCTTCAGAAATTTTTCTGTGTTCATCCAGCTCTACGCTTTTGTAACTAGAGGCCAGTTGGCTTAATATCTGTTGTCAGGAAAATGTTAGAAGTCTTTTATAAAGTATGTCATAAAAGTCTTTGGAAATGCCTAATATGATCAAGCAGAGTCATCATGGGTTCATGAAGGGAAAATCATGCTTGACAAATTTAGTAGAATTCTTTGAAGAGTAACAAGCAGGACCACAGGATACAATCTCAGATTAAGGGATCACCCAGTCATGACAGGGATAAGAAAGAATACCTTCTTTCAGAGGCTAGTGAATCTATGGAATTATTCACCATAGAAAGCTGTTGAGGCTGGGTCATTAAGTACATTCAAAGCTGAGATAGAGACATTATTAATCAGTAATCAAGGGTTAAGGAGATTTGACAGGAATGTGGATTTGATGATTGTCACATCAGCCATGATCTCATTGAATGACACAGGAGACTCAATGGGCTAAATCGCCCTCAGATCCACTTGGGTCTATATGTGCACAGTCAAAAAGATAGCAGTTAATAGAGTAGACAGTATCCTAGCCTTTATTGGCAGCGGCATAGAGTACAAAAACTAGGAGGTTATGCCAAACTTTACGAAGACAGCAATTCAGCCTCAGCTTAAGTACTACATCCAGTTCTGGGCATGACACTTTAGGAAGGATGTGAAGACATGGGGGAGGGTGCAGAAAAGATTTAAGAGTATTTCCAGGAATGAGAAATTTCAGTTATGAAGACAGATTAAATACATTAGGACTGTTTTCCTTGAAACACACTCACTGACATGCTTCCCCTGTCTCTTGTAAGCAAAGGAATGAGCTGATCTGACAGGGTTTTGCACATTACTCAGAGAAATGGTGAGGAGCCTCTATCAATTCAGAAGTATGATGGTATTAGAGGCCAGCATTGGGCCTTCCATGGGATTCAGGACCTGGTGACAGAAGTCCCATCTGTCAAGAGAAGTCAGTCAATTAGAGGGGTATTGGCAAAAAGGTTGATGCTGACTTGCAGTGCCCCCCTCGTTCCTGAGTCCTATAACCTTAGCGAGCGACCGAAACAAAAGAGCTGGCAAACTCTTGCTGTACAGTCTCTAGAAGTGAGAGCAACTGTGTAACTTGTATTTAATCCTGATTCATCAGTGAACTGCAGTAATAATGAGTGTCAACTGGCTCATCAATGAGCTAACTGACATCCTGCCACCATCAGCCCCTTCCACCCTTCAACTTAATTGGGGATGTTTTGCAGCCATCAGAAGACTAACACAATACTTTGACTGCAATTAAATGGCCTGATCACTATGATTCCTGCCATTATAGGCTACATTAAATTCAGCTCAAGGAAGCAAAACAAGGGTCAGGCACAGCTGCATGTCCTCATCTCTAATAAGTAGATGGTGGTCATCATAATTGGGCAGCCTTTGCAGAGACCATAGTCAATGACTATGGGGGCTAATGATATAACTACCAATCTACTTTCTCAGATCCCACATGCCTCTCATCCTGCAATGACGTACAAGCTGCAGATATTACGTTTGATGACAAGGGAGACCAATGATTTTTAAGTTGGCAGTATAGAAACAGAAGCAATTCAAGCCTGCCCCTGCATTCTAGATCATGGCTGATCTTCTCCTCCGTGCCATTTTCCTCCACTATCTGCATTCCCTCAATGTAACTGGTCTCCAGAAACTATCAATTTCTGTCTTGAGTCTTCCCAATGATTGAATTTCCATAGCCCACTGCAATAGAAAATTTCTAAGATTCACTATCTTATGAGTGAAAAAAATTTCTCATTCTCAGTTTTGAATGGCCTGCTTCTTATCCTGAGATTACGTGCTCTGGTTCTAGAATCACGAGCCAGGGGAAACATCTTGACTATATCCACCCTGTCACACCCTGTAAGAACTTTGTCAGTTTCAATGAGACTACCTCTTATTCTTTGAAACTCTAGAGAATACAGACTTAATTTCTTCAATTTACGACAGCAATTGAGAGGATATTTTTTCAATGAGGGTAGGTAATGCACAGGGCAATATTGAGGCTGGGCCATTAAGAATAGTTGAGGCTAAGATAGACAGATTTTTAATCCATAAGGGTGATGACTGGAGAAAAGCAGCAAAGTAGAGTTGAAGATTAGCAGATCAGCCATGATCTCATTGAATAGCATAGCAGACTCAACGGACCAAATGGTCCACTACTTCTCCGACTTATTATGGTCTTATACTTCTTTTCCAAAACATTTGATTGCTTCTGAACCAATTCAAACTCTAATTGCATTTTTCTGTGAAAAAATAAACAAATATGAAACCAGAAAGCCTCCCTATAAACGTCCCCACACTAATGGGCACCTCCAGCATGGAGCCAGATAAGCAAATTCAAGCAAATTAAATTTACCTTCCCTTTGATTCTGGGACCCATATAAATAATCTGTATCTCTAACAGGGGAACGATTGTAATTTTACCAGATTTACCATGCCATTAAAAATTCAATTGAGGGTAACCATCGTTTACCATTTCACATCTCTAACTTTAACCTCTTTAAACATGAACCATCCTGTGAATTGTAATTATTTTAACGGTGTTTACAAGTTTATCAAACCCAAGTTCTTTTTTTAAAACTTATCTTGCATTTAAAATATCACTCCCTGAAATTAAACAAGTTATTTCTAAAACATATGGATCATATAATTTGATATTTGTAACAAATTTCAGCATGGACCTCTTACTTCTCCATTCTCAACCACATTCTTATGTCTTTTTGCTTTCAGATATCCAAGAACTACCATCTTTTAGGCAGTGGTGTGAGACTGTGAAGACCAAATGGAGCAAGTCATTTACGATAAACAAACACCATCAATCAGAACACACATACGCAGCCATCAGTTGAGACAGTAGTACTGCACATACTTCAGACACTTGCATAGAAATTCGATGTACATGTGGTGACACATTGGGCATGACTAAACTACACCAAGATAGACGATAAAGGATTCCATGTCCACCACCATCACCTTAAAGTATGAGTTTGCACAAAGGTTCCATTCCATAAAACTAAGAAGAGTTTATCGGTTGGATAGTATACAGAAAAAGCTGACAGGCATGTACAGAGGAATGCTTGGTGCATTAACAGACATGACTGACTGCCTACTGTTACTGTCCAGTAGCATGGAGGAGCTTGGCTCCAACTTGACCTAGGGCTGTGTGCAGAGCTCGGAACAGATCTTTTCAGCATCAAATTTATTGCTAACTTCATGAGAACATGTACACACCACAGCACAGCACAGTGCAGAGCCTGATGCCCACATCGTAACATCTAGTGCAGTACAAACAGAAGTCAGTTCGAGTATTGCAGTGGAAGTTCAAACTGAGGTCATGAAATTTCAATTTGTTACCAATCATGCTCAAATTGCTGCAATCACGGCTGTGGACGTCAGTGCAAAAAGAATCTTTCAATGCATTACAGTGTAGTGAACTCTGCTCCAACTGATCACTGAGGCACCGCCCAAGGAAAGAGGCATTGGCTCCATACTGCAAAATTCTGTTGTCCTTTCTCAGGATGGCAGCATTCGTCCTCCCATCACTATCCCCACAGTTGTCTGACAATCAGCCCACCCAGACTGCTATTCACAAAGAAGAGACGGTATGGTCAGAAGCCCAATCTTAAAAGCCCTCAACTGCTCAAGGGCATCCTGCCCCAAAGAAAGTAAGCAGCCCTCCAACAATCTTGCTGCAGCCAGTGGGACAGCACTGCAGAGGATTGGAGAAGCAAAGCCACCAAAGGAATGTACAAGTGACTTATTGCTGACCATAACACACACTTATCAAACATTCACTCAGGTTCATCAACTCTCCCAATTTTGACCCAAGTCCCAGACATTAGCAAGGAGGATGTCTGAGGGTGTTTGACATGAGTCCAATGTCTCAAGT